CCGGTGGGCACAGCTGAGTGAGATTTACTCCCCCCAACTCGTCCAACCAGGTCTCGTTAATGCAAGCCAGATCCGCCCCCTCATCCAGGATCAAGTCCTGAATGGCAGCAGTCTTACCATTGACGGATCTGGCATTAATCAGCAGGATCTTAAGACTAAGGGGACTGCCATGGGGCCTACCATTTCCTACCTTCTCCAGAGTCGCAAGAACTCTGTTGCGCTTCTCCCTGGGATGCTGGTGACCTGCAAATCTCCTCCCCCACACGACCTGAATGGCGCCCCCCTCCTCCGGTCCCCCCTCCCTCCCTACATGGTTGGAATCTGTGGCTAGTCAGCTTTCAGAAGAAGAATGGCTGGAGTATAGTCTCCCTTGGATTTCAGGTAGGGGTGCTTCTGATGTTAAACTAGAAAGAGAGACATCAAGGGAGCTGAGTGGGCTGAACAGGGGAAGTGTTATTGGGTGGGAAAGTGTGGCTGATTGTGTAGGGACAACTGGAGCAGATGGGGTTTCGAATTGAAACAGACCAGGAGGGGAGGCCCTAACCGGGGAGCTATTTGTGGAATTCTCACAGGGACCTGATGGAACAAGGTGAGGAGGTACCACTGTGTCAACAAGGGGGCGGATATGAGGGTCTGCAACTACCCTTCTGATGGAGATGCCCCATTTCTTTAGGCAGGATCGCATTGCCAGCAGCTCGCCGAGCCATAAATTGTCTTCCGGTGTAATTAAAAGACAAGAGGAGCAGTCAAGTGACTGATAGTCCCTCCGCAACCAGGTTATGGCTTTCAGTCTTATATCCCATGGTCTTTTTGATAGGATTTGGGCCAGAGAGTCACAAACAGCCCTCCTAGAGGTCCATCTGCCTCTATTGATCATTAAATCAGCAACCTCAACCGCAAACTTGTCTGTCATTTGGAGATGTTGTTCCTGGCCACAAGCTGCGGTTGGCTGAACAATAGTCTGGTGCGGTGTGAAAAACTTTAGACCATGGATGATGGGAATTACAGTATCGTCACTCATTTCTTTAGACCGTTCCGATCTATATCAATGACTGAGCAAGATCGAACTTGTCATACAGAGAATCCATTACCCACTCTACATCCCGGTGTGGTTTGTGGGACAATGCACCATGGATGATGGGATTTGCAGTACCTTCATTCACTTCCTGAGACTACTGTGACCCACACCAATGACCGATCAAGAAGAAACTTGACACACAAAGCCCCCATGACCCACCCACCATCCTGGTGCAGTGTGGAGGATGGACCATGGACGATGGGACTAGCATATGAGAGTTGTAGTTCACCCACTGAACCACCTGACATTGGATCTAGGCTAAACTACAGAACGGACAAACAATGCCTGTCTCAAATAACCCGGGGAGCGCTCGGTCCCCAAGCTAGTATATAATAAAAGTGAATGTTTGTATGTGGAGGGAGGTGTATATGGCAGCGTTCTGATTGGCTGTTAATGTGGTAGAATTTGCATATGGTCTCTGATTGGCCAGCCCCAACATTCCAACATTCTGAGGTAGCAGAGAGGGGGAAAAAGGGCCTGAGGCTGTGGCAGCTTTCTGATTGGTTGCCACTGGGGAACAATTTGCATATGGTTTCTGATTGGCCAGCCTCAAAATTCCAACATTCTGAGGTGACACAGAGAGGAGAGGTAAAGGCCTGAGGCTGTCAGGAATGGTTGGAGTTGAAGTCCAAAACACCTTGTGGCCCCCAACAATCACAGAACAAGAACACACCTGGCACACAGACCACGACCACCACCCAAGACCCCACTCTGCATTCTGGTGCAGTACTTTCACCCGATTCACTTCTCACAGAATATTGTAGCCCCTACAAATCGCAGACAGGGCCCAAACTTGGCACACAGAGTACTCATGACCCACTCTACATCCTGATGCAGTTCTAAGGGGGATGGACAATGGATGATGGGATTTGCAGTACCTTCACTCACATACTGAAACCACTGCGACCCTCATCCAATGACCAATAAAAAACAAACTTGGCAAACAGATCCCACATGATGCATTCTACATCCTGATGCAGTTTGAAGGAGGATGGACCATGGATGATGGGACTTGCAGTACCTTCACTCAGTTACTGAAACCACTGCAACCCTCATCCAACGGACTGATCAAGACCAAACTTGGCACACAGAGCCCCCATGACCCCCTTTATATCCTGGTGAGGTTTGGGGGAGGACGGACAATGGATTATGGGATTTGTAGTACTTTCAAACCCTTCAGTTCCCACAGACCAACAAAGACCGATCAAGACCAAACTTGGCACACAGAGCCCCCATGACCCACTCTACATCCTGCTGCAGTTTGGAGGAGGGTGGACCATGGATGATGGGACTTGCAGTACCATAACTCAGTTACTGAAACCACTGCGACCCTCATCCAATGACTGATCAAGACCAAACTTGGCACATGGAATCCCCATGACCCACTCTACATCCTGCTGCAGTTTGAAGGAGGATGGACCAAGGATGATGAGACTTGTAGTACCTTCATTCACTTACTGAAACCATTGCGACCCTTATCCAATGACCAATAAAGACCAAACTTGGCACACAGAGCTCCCATGGCCCACTCTACATGCTGCTGCGCTTGGAGGAGGGTGGACCATGGATGATGGGACTTTACTCACTTTACTCACTTCCTGAAAACAATGCAACCCTCAACCAATGACCAATAACGACCAAACTTGGCATACAGAACCCTCTTTACCCACTTTCTCTAATAAACTGGGCAGCACAGGGTCCCCAAGTGAATGTTTGTACATATGTATGTATGTTTCTATGTGTGTATGTGGCAGCTCTCTGATTGGCTGCCACTTTAATAGGCCACTGTGACCCCCACAAATGATGGATCTGGACCATAACCCCCATGACCCCCTTTACATCCTGGATTTGGGGAGGTGGACCATGGACTATGGGATTTGTAGTAATTTGCAATGCCTTGGTTCCCACAGAAGGGTGGACCATGGATGATGGGACTTGAAGTACCTCCACTCACTTCCTTACAGCACTGTGACTCACACCAATGACGGATCAGGATCAATCTTGACAAACAGAGGCCCAATGGCCCACTTTACAAACTTGGCACACAGAGCCATCATGGCCAACTCTACATTTTGGTGCGGTTTGCAGGAGGATGGACTATGGATAATGGGACTTGCAGTACCTTCACTCATTTTCTGAGGCCACTGGGATCCACATGCAATGACTGATCAAGACCAAACTTGGCACACAGAGTTCCCATGACCCACTCTACATTTTTTGTGCAGTTTTGGAAGAGGATGGACCACAGATGATGGGACTTGAAGTACCTTCACTCCCCACTCGAGACAGCTGCGAACCTCATCCAATGACTGATCAAAACCAAACTTGGCACACAGAGCCCCCATGACCCACTCTACATCCTGGAACTGTTTGGAGGAGGATGAACTATGGACGATGGGACTTGAAGTACCTTCACTAACTTCCAGAGATCACTGCGAACCACATAAATAACTGATAAAGACCAACCTTGGCACACAATGCTTTTTTCAAATAACCCGGGCACTGCCGGGCCCCCAATCTAGTCTATAAGAAAAGTGAAAGTTTGTATGTATGTATGTGGCAGCTTTCTGATATGTTGCCACTTTCACAGATCACTGTGGCCAGCACGGGTGACGGACCTGGACCAAACTTGGCACACATAACACCCATGACCCCTTTTACATCCTGGTGAGGTTTGGGGAGGACGGACAATGGACAATGGGATTTGTAGTACTTTCCAATCCTTCAGTTCCCACAGACCACTGTGGACCCCAACAAAGACTGATAAATACCAAACTTGGCACACAGAGACCTCATGACCCACTCTACGTCTGGTTGGGGTTTGTGGGGTAATGGACCAGTAGCTTCACTCCCTTCCTAAGACCCTTGCAACCCACACCTATGACTGATCAAGACCTAACTTGGCACCCTGGGCTCCTATGACCCATTCTACATTTTGGTGCAGTTTGGAGGAGGATGGACTATGGAGGTATACTTCACCTGCACCCACTGAACCCAGCCAACATTGGATCTAGACTAAACTTGGAGCACAGATAATTCCTTTCTCAAATAACCCAGGCACCGCCGGGTCCCCAAGCTAGTATATAATAAAAGTGAATGTTTGTATGTATGTTTTCAGCGGGAGGTGTATGTGGCAGCTTTCGCATTGGCTGCCACTTTCACAGGCCACTTTCATAGGCCACAGCATGGGTGACGGACCTGGACCAAACTTGGCACACATAACCCCCATGACCCCCTTTACATCCTGGTGGGGTTTGGGGGATGACTGACTATGGGGTTAGTAGTACTTTCAAACCCTTCAGTTCCCACAGACCACTGTGGCCCCCAACAAAGACTGATAAAGACCAAACATGGCACACAGAGCCCCCATGACCCACTCTACATCCTACTGCAGTTTGGAAGAGGGAAGACCATGGATGGTGGGACTTGAAGTACTCACTTCCCGAGACCGTTGAGACCCTCATCCAATGACTGATCAAGACCAAACTTGGCACAATTTCCCAATTCTACCCACTTGGAAAAAAACAGAATTACTATTAAAAAGGAGAACTGAAATGGTAAAGTGCTTTAAATACTGAAATGACCAGTGCTTGTTTTATATAACTAAATAGCCATATTCAAAATAGCATGTTTCCCATGCAAATTTGCTTCATTAATCAATTAAGGTATTTTTCCCCAACAACAGGAATAGTTTCCAATTCGTTGTTGTGGTTGGGGAAGAAAGATTGTGAAGTCTCAATGTTTGCCGGGGAGCCACACATTTAAGTCATCAATGCTAAAATGTTAATGAGTGATCATGCATATAAATGATTTCTGTATCTGAAACTATATCAGAAACTATATGTATCTGTATCTGAAACTATATCAGGCTAATGGTTCACATAAGCAAACAGCAGATAGGCTAAGCTACAGAAGCCAGATCAACAAACCTTCATTTATTTGAACTGACAATAATACATTTGGCGCACAAGTGTGAGATATTGCAACATTTATGCCAATATCTGGAAGAACAACTAAGAGAAAAGATAAGTTATTTGGTTCGGATAATGAAAATGGCAAGCTATTGTATTATGTTACTACATAAGGTAAATTGAGGCTACGCTTGTTTGTATGCTTAATCTTAGAACTAGCTTTACCAAAGGCAGTAGGATTTTGAGTACCTATAGAAAAGACTGCCCTTCTTAAAAATACATAACTATTTTTAAAAAGAAATTTTAATAAGTACAGATTTAGTGTTACACAACCATTCCTACTACTTCCAATGCTCAATCACAATTTCCAGAAAGGTTTACAAATGCATAATGTCCTGGATATTGTCTTGGATAAGACTGATGTAAAAAAGAAATTACTTCAGAAGCACATGGTTCTTCAATACATACAAAGGAACACTTCAAAAAATGAAAAATTACTATAAAATTAAAATTCTAAATCATATAATATTTTAATTTAGTTGAATAAGGTTATTTTTTGTCATTCAACATTTGTTTTTAATATGGTTTGTATTCAAAGTTTTCAAATTATGTGATAATAAGACACTTTTTGGGGAGAAGATAAATGATTATTGTCACATTTCAAGTAAAGTTTCACAAGTTATCTTTTATAAGGAAAATACCAGGTTCTACTATTTAAGTGCAGATCTTCTATCATTAGTTCACACTACAGCCAGTAAGAACATAAAACAAACTTGCTAAAGGACTGTGGCCTAATCAATTTGAGTTCAAAAGGTAATTCTAACAATAAGTTTTTTAAAAAATGACATAGAAGCTGCCTCTTACATAGTACCTGCTTCACCATTTTAAAGTAAAATAGTAAACAAAGCAACCATTATTTTATAAATTAGAACACTTCATTGCTACTTTCAACAAATATACAAAAATAATATCAATACACTCAACCAATTGCTTACTCCAGTGGAAATGGGTAAATGTCAATTGTCACTATAGATCTCTCCAGCAAATGGAAGGTGCACCTGGCTTCCTGTGACATTGGGGAGCCTTGACAGATCTGGGAGGCTCTGAAGGCGTGACTTCAGTTCTTTCCGTACCTGAGACACGTTGGTTAATTTGCGCTTGTATTCCTGTAAGACATGAAGAAGTTCACATGATACCGCCAGTCATATCTTGTTCCTAGAGAATTAACAAAAAATCCATGGATTCAAACATCCATGAATTCAACCATCTGCTCCTTGAAAATACTTTTCAAAACCCCCAGAAGGCAAAACTCATGTAAGGGGCATCATTTTACTATATTACTGTATATAATGTGATCTGAGCATCCACGGGACTCTGATCTCCATGGAGGGTTCTGGAACTAAACTCCAGGAGATACCTAGGGCTCATTGTTTTTTCCAGAGCTTCTCTTAGAAGGACGCAGTGCCCTCATTTTGGTAGTTTATATTTTTGTTTTATTGACTTTTCCTCATCTAGGGTAAAGCACATAAACCAGTCTCCTCCTCATAAGCACTGTGCAATTACCCCACTATCTCTTCTAAAAATCAGCCCATAAACAGTTTTAAAATATAATTTTAAAATAATCAGAGTAGTTTTGAAGACTTAAATAGCACAAGGCTTCATGTTATCTTGCAGGCAACACCATATTATTGTGACCGTTTTAGGATACTATAATGGAAATATGCTAAGTTTTCCTCTCTACAATAGCATTTGGCTTGCGGATGCCCTCCCTGTACAGACCCTACAGGTGTCAAAGTTGGCTTCATTTTAGCACCAAGATAAATCATACTTTTCATTAAAACATGTAGAGTCCATCAATTGTATCTAGTATTTGCACACTGATGATTGCAAAGTATTTTAATGCAGAGCAAGAGAAGCGTGGCTCTACAAAGCCCTCCTTTTTTATTTTACCACAATTTCTGGATTGTCCCCCCCCCCCCCCCCAAAAAAAAATGTCAATGAAAAGTGAGGTGACTTCCTATTGACATTTTAGCTCTGATGAAAAAAAGTTTGCCTGGGGACTGTTGGAGGAGTGCAAGGGCAGAAAACCAGCCCCTGGCCCCCATGTACTTGTCTTTCTGTTTCGAAGTGTCAGATATGTTTTTAGGCTATAGATTGCCTTTTCAAGTTGTAAATCGTTCTAAATGGATTTGATCACATGCAATTCTGAGATATTTGGATATATTTTTAATCAAATTAAATAGTTTTGTATAGATGAACTACCTAGACAAATTTCCAATGGTATCTCTTCTTACATTTCTGCATTCCAGCATGACCTACTAAACAGGGATGGCCTGTGCTGCTTTGAGATCCTTGGGGAAGCTCTTGTTTCAGTTCCACCACTATCAACTGTAAGAAAGAGACTTCTCAGTGAAATTCTGCTCCTCATAAGGTTAGGCTAACTTCCTTTCCACTCTCCTACCAGCAAGTAAATACCATTTTTATTTAAGCAAGCATTTGGCAATTATGTGGTTGCTTTGAAAGATCCTTTAATTCAGTGTGCACACTGTATAGTAGAACTTCTATTTACAAGTGTCCCAACCTATGTGCAATTTGAGATATGAACTGTCTCTCATTGGGTTTTCTGTTTTGACTTGCGAGTGACAATCCGAGTTACAAGCCAAAGGAGGAGACTCCACACTCGGTGAGAAGGCCCTATGCAAGATGGTGGGTACCTTCCTCCTTCGGCTGGGCGCACGGCTCATTCCAGGCCCAGCACAAAGCCTCTCTGTGGTCTTCCTTCAGCATGGTAGCAGATGGAGAAGAGCAACCTTAAGCCCCATGGGGCCTCCTCCGCAAGGCGCCGCAATACCTCTCACAGCTCTGCTTGTGAGAGGTATTGGCCAGCGAGGCCTCCAACAGGCATGGAGGGAGGTGGGAGACTAAAGTTGATTTAATTCATGGATTAATAGCATTTTAATGGGAAATTTTGACTTGACATATGACCATTCTGAATTAAGAGCTCGGTCACAGAACAAATTAAACTCATAAATCAATATATCACTTTATCTTTAATTTATCGTATTTCACAGATTCCATGGCACACTTTTCCCAAAAAATCAAGGCTTTAAAAGGTGGGGATGCATCTTAGAATTGGTGGTGCCCTAGATTCATGGAGGCTGAGAGATCAGGAGGGAAGCCAGCAGGAAACAAGAGGCATCCATCAAGAGTGGAGTGGCTTTACTTCTTTGTCTTACTGCCCAGCTCTTCAGGGCAGTCTCCCAAAAGCCTCCCCAACTCCACACCCAATGTTGCTGCCTTGCTGCCTTTTGTATCGACCGCACCAAGTCAGCAGTAAGAAAGGCAGCAAGGTAGCAGAATCAGGTGTGGGGTTGTGGAGGCTTTCTGGGAACTAGCCAGGACATCAAGTAAAGTTGGGGTGAAGACAGGAAGGCAGTGAATAAGAAGGAACCCCTTCTTATCCACCCTTGCTCTTTCTCCTTACTCAGCAACACATGTTCCAAAATATTTTCTCCCCAAAATCGAGATTTGAAAAAAGGAGTGCATCTTAGGCTCAAGGACATCTTAGAATAAATGAAATATGGTATTTTTAAATTGCCTTAATCCTTCACATTGTAGTGTTTTATTATCAAGTTTATAGCTTCTTTTGTTTAATATGTGTTCCCTTGGATATGATGTCAGGAGAAAGGGATATAAAATAAATAAATTGATACCAAACTATGAGGTATGGAAACTATTCATCAGCTATGACTAAAAAGGTGGCCATTGAATTGCTGTCAGCGGTAGCAATGTAGCCAATGCTGAGGGATCATGGGAGTTGTGACCCAGCAGCATCCAGCCAGGCTTTTAGCAGCACATTGGCCAAACCCTATCCTTCATTTTAACATTTCGTGGTCCTATTACGACATTTGTGCTCCGGTTGGTTTAAAAAATTTTATACTCTTCGCTTGTTCCAATTTACCCTCTGCCAACCTACATTTCCAACTGTCTTGAAATATTCTCCTTTCTTTCTCCTCCTTACTTTCTGCCTTTGTCCTCAAGTTATGTCATTGACTGCAAACTGAGTTCAAAGGACAAAAAAAAATTGCACTCAATTCAGCAGAAAGAATCTTGCCCTTCCCAAAGGCTACTGCAAAAGCAAATTGCTGTTGCCTCTGTTCTTCCTTGTGAACAACTTGCCCTCTTGACCACTATGTTGTAAACCATTGTAGTTTACATCTGTTAAATGCTGGAGAAAATGCTATTGGGAACATTTTGTAGAAAATGGGTCAAAGTGCCACTTCTTTCAGCAGCAGAACAAGGAAAGTGTACTCTAAAGGACCCAGCATTCCCTCCCAACATCCAACATTTTCCAGCCCTCAAATGGCTCCCAGAGATTGTGGGAGGTAATTGTAGCATATTTTTTACCCCATGACCATTTTGGACCCAGGAACTCTCTTTTTCCCAACAGAAAGAGATGAGGAAATTGAATTCTGGATCACTTCATTTAGAAAACAATGGCACTCTTGGGTCTAAAATGGCCCAGAAAGGACCAAAAAGGGGGGGGGGGGAGAGGGGAGACAGTCATGACTACCTACCTAGGGAGGGTGGTTGTGGACAGGGATGATCATGTACTTCCAGGCCATTTATTCCCAATATCCATTCCCCAGGTAAATGTAAATTTACACCACAATGTACTATTTTATCAGATCTTACCAAATTCAGTGAAGCTGATGTCCAGGCAAACACGCATAGAATCCAGCCTAAGACTGCACATAACACTTGTTTTACCAGGACTTAAAGAAAAGCTAACATTACTCTTTTGGCATGTTTTCTGTGGCACTTGTTTCATTTAGTTATTTTTTTTTTCATCCTACTCTGTCTTTGAAACATTAATTTATCTTGAAAGTAGTTATTGTTTTTATTCTATGCCTTCAAGTTGTTTCCTACCTATGGTGATCCTAAGGCTTTCTTGGGAGGATATGTGCAGAAGTTTTCCACTGCTTTCCTATGAAGTAGTGTGAGTTTTCCATGGTGACCTAGTTGGTTTCATAGCTAAGTAGGTATTTGAAGCCTATCTCAAGTCAACTTGAGATATGTGCACTCAAACCACAACCACACTGGCTCCTATTACAAGTACACAAGATATAAATTGACTATAGTATCCCCTCCTCTTCCATAGAGTGATCTCTCTATGGCAGGGGTGGGGAATCTTTTGGATATTTGTGAGCCATGTCTTTCTTTACTTATAATTATAAAATTATATATTCTTTATTATATATTATACAATTATATATAATAAATCAAATGAAAGTTCCAAAGGCTGTGTGCCGCAGGCAGCTGCCTGCAGGTGCACATGCTTACTGACTTTGGCTCAGCAAGAGCTGAAGAAGTAGAACACGCCTGCCAATTCAACAGTTAATTTCATCCCTGTGCCAACCCTGCAACCACAGCAAACCAGGCAAGAAGGATCCATACAAATCATGGCCACGGACCCTGTGAAGCGATGCAGCAGTCCCTGTTTCAGTCTCAAAAATAGCAGAAAGAGATCAGAGGTGGTCAACCAGGGTTTGTAAGACCTCTGGTCTCATTCTTCCCGTGACCTGCCTCAGCATGCAGACACACTGGGCAGTTTAATCCTGATCTCTACCCAGGGTGGCCATTAAAGGTGCTCCCTCACCCACAGGAGCCACAGCTTGGTGGTCTTGGATGCAAATTATTTTGCTTTGATTGCTTTTCTAATCCTGCACCTTGATTTGGAACATATCCAATGTTCATATCAACAACTCTTGAAGTCTTTTCTGTGTGCTGTATTTTCTTTATTCTTCATCTGAGATTCAGGTTTTGCAAGGATTGTTAAAGGCATCAGATCTAAGTCAACAATTGGTTAGTATTTGGGCGAGAGATGAAGAACCAAATCAAATTGTCTCGAGAACTGCATGTGGCCTCCAGGCCGAACATTCCCCAACCCTACTCTATGGGATTGTACATGGATGAGGAGATGAGAGCAGAGCTCCACTGCCAAAATGACTTAAGGCAAGAGTCCTTTTCACAAGATTCCTTCAGCTTACTTGGTGAGGAGTGCTAACTCAATTTTTTCAGCAACTGAGCTCTCCCCATGCACAAAATGGAGATTCATGTATTGATTTTGGAAAAGTGGAAAATTGCTCTTCAGCTGAAAAATAGC